CTCTTACCACATCACTCAATGTTCCTCTTACCACATCACTCAATGTTCCTCTTACTACACCACTCAATGTCTCTCTTACCACATCACTCAATGTTCCTCTTACTACACCACTCAATGTCTCTCTTACCACATCACTCAATGTTCCTCTTACCACATCACTCAATGTCTCTCTTACCACACCACTCAATGTCTCTCTTACCACACCACTCAATGTCTCTCTTACCACATCACTCAATGTCTCTCTTACCACATCACTCAATGTCTCTCTTACCACACCACTCAATATTTCTCTTACCACATCACTCAGTGTTTCCCTTACCATTTCACTAAATGTTTCCCTTACCATTTCACTAAATGTTTCTCTTATCACATCACTAAATGTTTCCCTTACCACATCACTAAATGTTTCCCTTACCACATCACTCAGTGTTTCCCTTACCACATCACTCAAAGTTTCCTTCACAATTTCACCCAACATATTCAAAGATCACTTCACTCAACGCTTCCTCAATGTTCCCCTTATCACTCAAATCATCAGGCATAGAAAACTTCTGTAGTAATTTAATATCTCTTTATACCAGAAAGTTACCTAAATACTGGATTAAACTTGTTACTAGACCTATTCTATTCTTCTTCTTCTTCTTCTTCTTCTTCTTCTTCTTCTTCTTCTTCTTCTTCTTCTTCTTCTTCTTCTTCTTCTTCTTTTTCATCTTTTTCTTCTCCCTTCTTATCGGTGTAACCCTTATCTTCTCCTCTTGACCATCTGTTCAAGTTCTCTAAGCAACTTATTCTAGGTCTACCTCTGCCTCTTTAGCCACTGTTTAAGAAGAACAAAATGTTCAAAACATTAAAGTCAACTGAGACATCCTAATTGTTTTCACTAGTGCCATGCCCACACTCGCTGCTTTCAACTCAACCTCATCCAATTTCTTGACCTTTCCACTAAATTCTCAGCCGGATCCAAAGAATCCACATTTCCATTGCCTCTAGTTTATCGATCCCAATCTTTCATAATTGTCCAGTCAGCTAACTCAGGAGACAACGTACCCTGAACTTGTCTTTTCCCACTTCCTGCTTGCTCTGGCTCTGCGGATGATGTCGACGACGTGGTCTCTGCAGACTCTGGGAGGCTCACAACCGGTGGTTGATAATTGACGGTGGAGCCACTGGACAGAAGAAAAGACAAACACTACTAAACTCAAACACGCTTAGTTATAACTAAAATTCCTCAACCAACTAGCTCAATCATCGTGCTGAACTCCAAAATGAAGAACTACTCAAATTGAACAGAGATTTCCGTCCGGTTCTTTTCACTATGGGTTCTCTGCATTTCAGTAAACTACATCCACAGGAAAACAGACACTGAGAAATTTGGAAAGAAGGGAAACAAACATCACTGAACTCAAACACGCATTATAACTAATATTCGACAACCAACTAACTCAATCATCTTGCTGAACTCGAAAACGGAGAGCTACTCTGACTGAACTGAGATTTCTGTCCGATTCTTTTCACTACATGTTCTCTGCATTTCAGTAAATCACATCCGTGGTGAAACAAACACTGGGAAGTTCATACATTTCCTTTTCTGCTACAACTACAGTCAAACCTGCCATGACGGCCACCTCTATAAGACGGCCACCAGTACAAACGGCCACTTTCCATTCTCCCCCTTGCGTTTTTATTATATAATTTCACTGTGTAAAATGGTCACATGTCCAACGCGGCCACGGCCACTATAATTCAACACACAACCCCTATAACACCAAACAATAACCCCCGTCTTAGACGGCCACTTTAGTGACTCCATTACATTTTGCCATAAATCATGCATTTGCCCCTGGTGTTGTGGGCGAGCTGTCATAATCCAATCACCTGTCGTTGCAGTTAGGTAGTCCCTCCAGCTGATCATGTTGCGTTGGCCCTTCCCACTGTTGACTAATAGGTAACACATTTTCAGCTGCTAATGAAGTAAGCTATCGTAAGCGTGTGGTTCCTCATAACCCATAAGCCACACCCAGAACTCATACACAAATCGTTAGTGAGATGAGTGGTCGCTGTTTACCCAGTCTGTAACAAAGTAACAATGGACGTCAACGTGAACTTGAGACAGAAACGTTGCTCGTTCTCCGGGTCGAGTGGTGGCGACCCATATGTTTGTTTAAACATGGCACTTGGTCTTACTCGTCTGACACATTTCGTTTTATTGTCAGCCTTGCACAAATGAGCAACAAAATAAAAAAGCAAACAAAAACAAAACCAAAGTAAACAACAACCACAATGCTGCAACCTTCGGTTGGGACCTCAGGAAGGAATGGTTTGTTATCTTCGTCTTGATCAGTCCTGCCTAAGACGGCCACCTGTCTTATACGGCCACTTTTCCCCATGACAATGGGTGGCCGTTTTACACAGGTTCGACTGTACATGTAACTGAATACAGCCCATACTTAAAAACCTGAAAATTCTTTTTTGAAGGGCTGCAGCTCAGATGGCCGCTGGATCGGAACAGAATAAGTAAATAATACATGCTGCAAGCTTTCATGACATGATAGTAACAAGAAAGTCACCCCCTATCGAGTCGTGTCATAAAAGCATTTCTGACAGAGTCAGGAAATTAGTCTCCTGATTTAGTAAGAGTTTTACGGCACTTGCAACAGAATAACGTCATATAACTGTCGAAGATTAGAAGTGTTACAAGCGAGTAACAAACACAAAAAAGGAGGACAGATTATGACAACAGATGTTTGATAGGAAAGAAGGAGCAAACCATACCACAACACCCGCAAACCACCCGTTCCTCAAATCAAGCCCTGTCATAAACATTTCTACCACAATGACCAAAAAAAAACAAACGGTCACCTCATATCAAGTCCAGTCAAAAGCCTTCACTATACAACAGGGACTAAAAAGAAATCACCTCAGACGAAGTGCTGACACAAACCTTTCTGGTATTGGGAGAACAAAGAGTTACCACACCTGAGATCAAGTCGAGCCAAAAGAGCGGCCTGGCGATCCTCCGAGGTCTCTGAGATTTTGGCCCCCAGTTTTTCTATGCCTCCAAGGATGGTTTCCCCTAGACCCTCTGAAAAGAAAAGACATCACAGAACAGTTACACTCAGTAAACAGCACAAGAAATATCTCTCCTCTCTCTCTCTATTAACCAACGTCGATATCTTTATTAGGTAAATGTTTTCCGACTTTTACCTACTTTAAGGAGAGAAAAGGACGATAAATGTTTGATAGGAAAGAAGGAGCAAACCACACCAGAGAGCACCTGCCAACCACCCACAAACAACCTTTAGTCTCAGGAACACACATGACAGTAAAAAAGTAAAAGTAAGTAGGTAAAAATTTTACGGTACTTGCAAAACAAATACTTCATAATATAAATGCCGAAGATTAGAGGTGTTACTTACTGGAAAGTAACACATAAAGAAAAGAAGGAGCAGAGACAAGGACGATAGATGACTGATGGGAAACAAGGCGCTAACCCCACGAGAGCATCCACCAACCACCCACCATCGAAATCTGAGCTATAAATAACTTATAATGACTACTATGATATCTGTGGTATAAATAACTCAAAAGTCCATTACAGGTTAAATTGCGCCAAGAGCAATTTATGTAGTTAAAAAAATTGTGCTGACAAACCAAACCAATCATAAAATGCGATGGCACTAAAGACTCAGACACCAACAGACAAACTACAGAGGTGCCAAATGAGGACAAATAAAAATCCTGAGCTTTTCGGACCCTGAGTAAACGTGAGAGCAGGGACTCAAAATTTACTCATATATGTATCTTATATCAAGACTATTTTAATAAAAAGAGCAATATGGCACGCACAAAGAGACTAAAAATATAAATAAATGCATAAACAGGAACATTTCACAACACTATATACAAAAATAATTTTTACATCAAAGGCCATACAACCTCAGAAATCCGGATTTCAAGACTTTTGTTTCAGTAGAAGTTTTACAGCACTTGCAAAACAATTAAGTGCCGAAGATTAGAAGTGTCATCAGAGAATAACAACCCTCCCCCACCCAAAAAAAAAAACAACTAAGGAGGAGAGATAAGGTCAATAGATGTTTAGTAGGAAGGAAAGAAGGAGCAAATCACACCAGAGCACCCACCAACCAACCAACAACCCACTTTCCTGATTTCTCCAGAAAATTAGCGCCTCTGACATGTTTTTTCTTTCGGAGGGCCACACTCGGGCTAGAACAAAGTACTCACTAGTTGGCACGATGGGAGAGTTGCCAAAGCCTTGGATCGCTCCCCCGGTCCTGGACGAGCCTAGGCCACCTGAGAGAACAGAGAAATCACACTGATTTGTTTCGTTTTTTGTCAGAGTTTACAGCCCTTTTGTAAGAGTTTTACAGCACTTGCAACACAATAAGGTCATATAAGTGCCGAAGACTAGAGGTGTTACAAGAGAGTTTTTTTTTTTTTTAATAGTAGAGGGTTTTACGGCGCTCGTAACTGCACAAGGTCATATGAGCGCCAAGGGGTGGGTGTCAACAGAGAATACAGGGAATCAGACTTAGACTGCTCACCTCTCTAGCTTCAACAGCACAAGGTCTGCTTCGACTATCAAGGCACTCCGGAAATAGCACGTCACAAGAGAGTGACAAGCATACAAAAGAAGAAGAGGAAAATGACAATAGTAAGGATCAGGAAAGAAAAAGCAGCAGTTCCCTGTAGTAGATCAGGCACAGTTATGAGCGTGACATGAGTCAGCCCATTTACAATTCTACTATGCTTAAACGAGAAATGTCCCCTCTGTGGGAATGGCCTAAAGACACTACAGTAAGTGGCACTGCCCCGGAGGGTTTTACAAGAGAGTAACAAACACAAAAAAAGGAAAGGAGGTGAAAAGAGAAAATCTTAGAAAAGAAAACTTTTTGTCACTGTCAGGGTTCAAACCCAGGACCTGTTGAATTACACACAAATACATACTGAAACAGTACACGTGTACCAGCGGCACACACAAACGACATATCACATGTGTATCGCAGACTGACACAAAGAGCTCGGGGCGGACAACGGTACCGTATTTAGGCTCCTGGCTGAGATCCTGTGGCATCGACTTGATGGTCAGTGGGTCCATGTTGTACAACTCGGCACACACTTCCTGGGAACATCATAGAAATCTTCATCTTAATAATAATTGTTTGTGGTTTTTTAGTTCAGTTTTAGTAAGAGTTTTACAGCACTTGCAACATAATAAGGGCATACATAATTATATTATATACGAGTGCCAAAGATTAGAGGTGTTACAAGAAAATAAATAACAAGCACCAAAAAAAAGGAGGGGAGAGGAGAACGATAGATGTTTGATTGGAAATAAGGAGCAAACCACACCAGAGTGGCGCCCTCCAATCACCCACAAACAGATTTTGTATTAAAAGGAGTTTTTTTTAGGTTCTAGTAAGCTTTTTATGGCACTTGCAACACGGTTAGGTCATATAAGTCCCAAAGATAGAGGTATTCCAAGAGAGTAACAAGTACGACAAAACAACAAAAAAGGAGGAGAGGTAAAGACGACAATCTTTGACAGTGGTATTCCAAGAGAGTAACAAGCACAACAAAGAAGGAGGAGAGTCATGATGAGAGATAAAGACGACGAATGTTTGATGGTAAAGAAGGAGCAACCCACACCAGAGCCCCCGCCAACCACCCACAGTTTCAGAAGGCTGAAAAGTTTTAGACAAAGTTGAGAGAAGCACACTGACAAAATAACTGTCCATTTGTGCTGGGGTCAGAAGCCAGACAAACAGACAGCAACAACAGAGGGACAGAACAGAAGTACAGCCTGTAAATAGCACTCTCTGTTTACCCACAGGAGGGGGAAGAGATGACACACTATCTGTCCTTTAGTCTTTAGTGCTATCGAGTAAGGCAAGACAGACAACAAGAGCATAGGGAAAGAACAGAAGTAGGGTTTGCAAGTGGCACTCTCCAACAACCCATATATTGTGGCTATATTGCGCAGTTTGTGTCTGACAAGGGTACAGTATGGTGTTTCCGCCTATCATCTAGGTATAGGTAAATTGTGTTGGATGTATGTTTCATGGATGTAAAGAGTTGTTTACATGAGAGGTTGCAAGATGTACAAGATGTGAATAGTTTTGAAAATGGAGAAGGAAAAAAAGATGTCATACATGACGAAACATGAAACATTTTTTTTTGTTTTTTGTTGTTTTTTTGGGGGGGGAACTCTTTGAAGTTCAAACAGGCGCAAAAATCAGCTTGGAAAAACAAACTGCCCCAGAGCTCAACCAGACTAAAAGCAGCCGGACTGCCTTTTGTTTCTCCCAGCTCGGCTATCGTGAAGATAGATTACTTTACTTTTACTTCTTCATCCTCTGTTGCCATTAAGCGTAGAATGGAGATGCAGTTTTCAACGGTAGGCCAGCTCTGCTGCTCTTTCATTTCGGATATTATAATTTCTCAGGGTTTCCTTGACTCCCTCAATCCATCTTTTGCATTGCTTTCCACTTCTTCTACAGCATGAGTGCTTGGTGTTATGGGCTCTCTAGGCTGGCTGGCTGGCTATGTGACATTCGTAACAGGTGGCCAAACCATGATATTCTCCATGAAATGCAGGCATGACTTGGTGCCAATTGCTGCTCTTACATGAAGAGAGATTTCAATAGTCATTTCTTGCACAGAAAACAGGTAAGAGCCAGTGCCAGCAGTCAGATTTTACTTTCACTTCCATAAAGCACAAAAGAAAGTGAACAGCAAAATGAACAAATGGGGGGGCCATTGTTGGCATAGAATGTGAACAGAAAAAGGTTAAAGCAGGTTATGAGAAAATGTGCACGTGTTGACAAGAACATTCGTGTCATGACACCATGGGATCAGGCACTCATCATTTTTTTGGTCTTATGGAGTTATTGGTATAAAATCTTAAAGCCTGTCTAACCATCTGTCTTGAATAGAGCCTTGTGTCAGAGTTAAATTTACGAGAAAATAGCCACCAAAGTTTGGTGACTTCCAAAGTTAAAGTGTCTTTGGAAACTACAAATTTTCAATTTCTGTGCCTTTGATCAGCATTTTCCAGTAAAATCCAAGCAGGAATATGTTTGAAAGTGGACATAAAAAGGCGATAAAAATTGCCAAAAGGGTGGAAAATGTTGATTTTTACAAATTGTATTATTTCGAAGAGCGCCTGATTTCACCACAATGCTTCACACTTCCTTTATTAAGCGTCTGGTAAATCAAACCTGGGCTAACTTGCGGACCATAGTGTAGGGTACATTCCCATGAATGGGATGCGGTGGTCCTCCAAATTCTGAAACATAGGATGAAAATAGGGGAGATCAAAGGAATGAATTCTACACTGTTCCATCTATGTTGTAAAATATTTGTTTGTGAACATTTTTTTTTACATTATATTAGCATGTATGAATTAGCAATAGGATGACAATTCACTAAGATGCACATTGTGAATTTACTAATTGCGAGGTAGTGCGCTTACAAATAAGTTCTGCTCTGCCGTAAGCTGAAAAAAACGCCTTTTTTCATTTTGGTGCCAAAATTTTTTATTTGCTAAATCGAAAGCCTGATCAGTTACCCTACTTGTGTGAAAATATCCAGGAAATTTAAACTGCGACTAGTTTTTGAATAAATTAGAATTTAAATTTCGAAATTACTCTATTTCTAAATGATTACACTGACAAAAGACCTCTTTTTCTCTAAACTGCTCTGAAGAAAAAAAGGCGTTTTGTCAGCTTACAGCAATGCTTAATGATGATAGACCACCAATAAACGTGTCTGAGGTGAATTACTAATGGGACGACAGTCCACAAACAAGTGATCTTAGTGAATGGAGATGTGGTAATTCGTGAGACTACTCACTGGTGCATTCTTTGATCAGGTCACATGACTTGCGCAGACCCAGCTTGACCTGAGGACTGCCGTGCTCACACAGGTGCTGGACAACCTTCAGGACCTGAGCACACACCGCAAAATACAAGAGGAGGGGAGGTGGGAGGGAGTTAGAGTTAGATGAGAGAGACAGAAAGATTGAAAGGGGGGGAAGGGGTTATTCACAGAAATGTTTCCAAAAAGAAAAAGTGTGAGTGTGTGTGTGTGTGTGTGTATGTGTGTGTGTGTGTGTGTGTGTTTGTGTGTGTGTGCGTGCGCGCACGTGTGTGTGTGCACGTGTGTGTGTGTGAGCACCGTAGATCTACCGGTGGCGCGTGAAACTGCCCGTATGCCTAGCCACCGGTACACCAATGAGCGAGACCTTATCTCCAACCCGGCCAGCCTGGGACAAAATGCACACGGAAAACTGTGTTTACTACACAGGATGCTATAGATTATTTTTAAGATCTTTCTGAATTAGATGCTGGTAATGAAGAGGACTACTCTGAGTGGGATATGGAAAGTGGTTCTGATGGTCTTATGGATGCTAGTAATATCTATCGCTCAGGAGCTCAGGCAGAGGGGCATGGTAGCCTCAGGATGTCAGGGCTCAAAGTATTAATGAACGACCTCAATCAGGCTTACTTTTCCAATCCAGCGGCCATTGGAGTTTTAGCCCTTCACCTCATCAAGATAAAAATCCCCCCAAAACAACCGTAATGAACTGACCGCATTAAAAAAAAAAACTCCCCCACTTTTAATTTATGACAAGACAGACACCATTGAAAAACTGACCTTAAATTTTACATGACTCGATTTGCTCTTCAACCTATCCATGAGGAACTCCACCAGACTTTCGCTGTAGCCGACAGACTCATAGCTGATGGCTGAAATTCAAAAGGATCGACAAATCTAAAGTCTCATCTGGAACTCTTTTCCAGATATCCGAACACTTTCGCTTCCCTCATACATTCACTTCATTCAAACACTTGCATTCATGCTTTCCATTCACGTCATATATTATTGCACTCATTTATTCCATTCTTACATTATTGCACTCATTAATTCCATTCACACACTATAGCACTCACTAATTTCATTCTCACACTATTAAACTTCATTTATTCCATTCTTACAATATTGCACTCGTTTATTCCATTCACACACTACTGCACTCATTTTTTATTCCATTCTTACACTGTTGCACTCATTTATTCCATTCTCACATACTATTGCACTCATTTATGGCGCTCATATGACCTTATGCAGTTGCGAGCACCGTTAAACCTCTACTAAAACAAACAATCACTCATTTATTCAATTCCCACACACTATTCACTCACTTATTTCATTCACACACAGTGGTGACCACGGCACTCATTGATTTCATCCACACACTACTGAACTCATTCATTCCATTCTCACGCACTACTGCAATCATTCATTCCATTCTCACACACTACTGCAATCATTCATTCCATTCTCACACACAACTGCAATCATAAATTCCATTCACATATTATTTCCCTGACACATTCTACAACCACGTCATTTTTACACTATGCCCACCCAATTATTCATTTCATTCACAAAATTATTGGTCTGCTCACAAACTTGGCCTATTCATACACATTCAATCTGTTCATATATAAGCTTCGTCTATCCATACATCTCTATATTGTTCACACACTTGGTCCACCTACAGACCACTCATTCTATTCACACGTTCAGCATTTCTCTCACACACACACACCTTCCATTCATGGAATTTCTCCAGGACATTTATACTTTAGGTTTGCTCAGTCATAAATGTGCACCCAGCGCTGGAGGTGCACTCAGAGGGACTACAGTAATCTACTGATGATCAATTGTAGAATTGTTTCCACAGGATTTTGACTGAAATTGCATATATATTTCATACAGGAGGAGGAGGAGGAGGAGGAG